TAGACTGCCTTTTCTCTGCTCAGAGATTCATCAATTTCCACGCGGGAGGATAATGACATTGAAAGGTTCCTGGTTCCAGGGCCAGAACTGACCACTGTGTAATGACCTTGGGGCAGACTTTTGCAGCTAAGACTACAGCATGACTGGCAGGTTGGATGACAACGGGGTCCTTGGTTTCTCCTCCAAGTCCCCCTCCCCCCACCAACCCATCTCTCTTTGGGAGTGAAAGGTTTAGTGGGTCGGGATCAAGCACCTATGACATGAAGCCATAATGTACCAACAGAGCTTTTACTTCAGACGTCTGGGTGCAGGTGGGCTGAATCCAAAAAAAAGGAGTTAGCCTTGACTAAAAGGAGGGAAGGTTTTGTCAGCCATTGCTGGCTGCAGGCAGTTTCTGCTGGTGTCAGAGACCAGTCCTTCTGTCTCCCATCACCAGGTTATCTAAGCTATGCCGTACTCCAGGTTGCAAGCTTTCTGCAAGATATCCGCTAAGCACAATGAGTTTTCTCTGCCGTTTTATTCTCTTTAACCCTTTCAGGAAGCAGTGTGTCCTGGAGTTACTCCATGGTGCCCAACAAGTTGGGAAAACAAGGACTAGAGTTGGAGGTTGGGGGTATAGAGATGACTCTGTTTAAATGGCATCTGACAATGCTGGCTCAATGTGCCGTGACCTTGGCCAAAATTCCCCCCAAACTGGGCTCATGGAGTCAGTCTTACACTAGTTGCTCTTTGTGCTTCCAAAGTGCTTGTTACTTCCACTATAAACCCACTGGGCCCCGAAATGCTCACTGTGGAGCCGATCTGCCAGCACTGGCAGTGACAGCAGAAATCAGAGGTTGTCGACACAGCTTTGGTAGTGACTGCCAGCCTGGGTTTCTCCAAAGGTGGAGGAGTGAGCCAGAGGAATGGATTTGGCAGGAAATAACAGCCTTCCAGCTGGGGTACCCAACACCTGCCATGTGCATTAATTTCCAATGGCCACTGCAGAAGTGTAAATGTCAAAGCAGGAAGCATTCATTAAGCAGTGTAGGAGGAAGAGCACTAGAGACTCCAGATTGAAGATGGGGATTCTGATATTGCTAGACTTACCAAAGGAAGAACGCATGAGGCCAAGAGTGGTAAAGAATTGTAAATGTATTAAGTCATCTGGAAACCAGATGGGCTGAGCCCCCAAATGGCATCCTGACCCAGAGACAGGGAATCAGAGATTTTAAAGGATTCTAGATGGTTTTTTTCAGTGTGGAATTCTCTGGGTGGGTCAGGATCCTGGGCAAGTCTGGAAGGGAAAGTAACTGGTCTTAGCAAATAGAATGTTTTGAGTAGAACTCTGTCGTCGGTCTAAGTGAAAGGGAATGTCGGTTTCGAAATGATCTAAAGGACAGGAGTATCAATTTGATTATTTGATCAGGCCTAACATTCCAGCCTCTTTGTTTTATGGAATAGGGACGGAGACCATTTTTTCCATAGTTATTTCCTGCTGAGAGGGGACATGGAGATCAAAAGGGGATGGGCGTTATAGTTGTCTAGAACACTGTATAGATGATGCCTGGGTGGAGCAAGGGGTTGCAGCAGCATAATTTCCCCGAGAGACTGGTTGGCGAAGGCTCAAAGGGGGTCCTAAAGGAAAAAGGAAAAATGGCGCAGAATACAGGCGTCAAAAACAATGATGCGGAATAGGAATGTCAATGGTCCTCTGAAGGGAAGGAGCCAGGTAGACCAATTTATGTTGTTTAGCCAGTAGTCCCATGAAGTTGACTGACCTCTAATCTTTGTGGCCCTTTCTGTTAACTTTTGGATGGCATCCCTGACTAGCTGTTCCAACTCCCTCTCAGGTGGGAACATATGCACAGGTGACTGGGATCCCTCAGCCAGAAACTGGACTTATACGGGCTGCCCACCATTCTTACTAAGTTTGACCGAGCATAAACTAAAGACAAGAGACAAACATTTAAGATGCACGAATCACATGGTTTATTTACCAGAGTCCTGGTGGTTTCCAGAAGCCTAGGCAGGTCACCTGGAGATCCGCGCCGACAGACACACACACTGGACAGAAGCACGCCGCTGGAGCACTTCGGTCACGGCCGGTCACGATCTTCGGCTCACGGGCAGAGTAACAGCTCACTCAGGCAGAGCTTCACGCAGAGTGCACATCAGGTGAAGGAGCCTTTTGTGGCCTCTGACCCGTGCCTCTAGGTTCCTTCTTTTATGGTTAATTCTGGGCGGTCCCTTGTTCCTTCTGGGTATAACCAATGGGTCTTCAGTGTGTTTTATCGGGGGTCTCACAGGCAGCAATTCCCTGACACATTGCTACTTGTTTACAACTTTAGAGATTAACACATGCTAGGGCGTTCACATGTGGGGCCAGCATGTTACAACTTTAAGATTGGCACCTGCTAGGGCGTTCACAGACACTCAGGGTTACAACTTCAAAACTACTTCAAAATATGCACTCTAAGTCAGTTCTGCTATGCTTAATTCTCACAAAATGAATGCTTTCACTCAAGTTTAAATCATACAAATATAAATCACACATCACACTAATATAACAATAACACTAGGCCAGACTGACATAAAAACAACATTCTTCTTCAAGAAAGAGGGGTAGTTAGGAGGTGTAATCCTCTCTGATTTTTGGAAGGTGACAGCTGCTAATGAATCTATCTGATCCTGGGTTTGAACTAAACTTTGTCAATGCCATCTAGGCTTTCTTTTTTTAATATATTTCTTTTTTTAATATATTTTATTGATTTTTTTAGAGAGGAAGAGAGAGGGATAGAGAGTTAGAAACATCGATGAGAGAGAAACATCGACCAGCTGCCTCCTGCACACCCCCCACTGGGGATGTGCCCACAACCAAGGTACATGCCCTTGACCGGAATCGAACCTGAAACCTTTCAGTCCGCAAGCCGATGCTCTATTCACTGAGCCAAACCGGTTTCAGCCCATCTAGGCTTTCTTGTAAGTCGCAAGACAAGAGTTCAAAATATGATAGAGCAGTGGTTAAGCCCCTATGCCAGTTCCAGCACCTGCTGAGATACCAAGAGTTATGAGGAGAGGGATTATCTGGACTGGCCTTTTGTGTTGGATATGATGGGTTACGAGGACAGGAAACACTAATTATTAGGAGCTACGTCTCATTGGGTGAGAGAAAGACTAGAGTACAGGACCCCGTCCAGTTGCTCATCCCTGTTTTGAGGAGAACTCTGTCTCCGGTTAAGAAGGGATGTAGAGCCGGGACCGGTTTGGCTCAGTGGATTGAGCGTCAGCCTGCGGACTGAAGGGTCCCGGGTTCGATTCCAGTCAAGGGCATGTTCCCTGGTTGCGGGCATATCCCCAGTGGGGGGTGTGCAGGAGGCAGCTGATCGATGACTCTCTTCATCGATGTTTCTGACTCTCTATCTCTCTCCCTTCCTCTCTGTATAAAATCAATAAAATATATTTTTTTAAAAAAGGGGTTGTAGAAAAAAAAATCTCTAGCACATAGCACATGCCAGATCATTAACTACAGTCAGTGTTTGATTAGGATGCCGGTGGAGTTGATATGAGATATCCAAGGCTAAGGAAACCTGTTGAGTGACTTGGGAGGTAAAAGCTTGTCCTGAGGCAGCCACAGTGTTACTTGTCTGGTTTTGCTGCTTTTCTGGGCCTGGAGCTGAAATACAACTGAGGCCTAGATGTTATCTTTAGGGAGGAAAAGGTCAGGGGTCCAAACTGCCTGACTAGTGATAGGAAAGGGGAGGATAGGTTATCCTGGGATCAAGGTTCTTGTTTTTCCTAGAGCTTTCTGCCCTGATGAGTCCATCATCCTTGCTCTGGGGGGTCTTTCTAACATTTCCCTCCTCAAGGGTTTTTTGGCACTGAATTTTTCCCTTTCAAAGGGACAATGAGGTGGTTGTGATGGTGTCTAGGGGTGGTATTTCCTGAGTACAAATAGGACTTGTAACCTGGTGAAGATAAACTGTGTTGTACATTTTACTATTATTGGGGCCAAAGCTAGAATGACAATAATTATGACAAATGGTCTGGTGAAAGGAAAGAGACATTAATTTGGAGCCAAATATTATAAAGTTTATATTTTTTAGGTTCACTATAGAGTTTTAAATATATATACAAGATACCTGTTACTCCTGAGAATTTCCTGTTTGAACTCAGCTCTGAATCTTTGTAAGTTACATCCTAGAGCAGGCTCAATTTTCTAGAATATTATTTTAAAACATTATACGCCAGTAGTGTCATCGGGAAGCAAAAACTCATATATACAGACAGACAAACATATGTATACAGACAGACAAATACATGAAGACCATACACACGATTTAAATGATAAACATGCCCACCACACCCTGTGTTAATCCAGCTGAGAAACTTTTTAGTCCCAAAAGCCATGAAGACCCATTGGCTAGTTTTTGTCTCTCATCCAGGACTGTCTTCCTTCCCAAGTCCTTCTCTGGACTCCAAAGTGGAGGCAGTGGTTTCGAGGATGGGCACCAGCTTGGAGCTCCAGCTCTCATTCTCACCAGATATGTGCCCTAACCACTCGGAACTTCTGTGTCATCGCCTCTAAAATGGGGGACAATATTGGTGCCCCTCCAGGCTTGTTTAACACTAAGTCCAATGCCAAGTCCATAGGACACATGAGGGGAGCATTGGTGATGAAGAATGTGGGAAGGTCTCCCTTTGTCTGGGTTCTCCATCCATCGGGCTTTTCCTTCACAATACTCATCACCAAAGTAATTGAATTCATGACTTGTTCACTCAGCTGTTTACTGTCCCTGTTCCCTCCATTAAACTCTAGTTTCCATGAGGGCAGAGAGGACCTGGGTCCCCCTCGCTCAACGTTGGGCCCCAGGGTATAGTGCACAGGAGGCCCTCAGCAAACAGCTGTCAAGTGGATGACGACATATAATCACTGCCTTGTCTTTGTTGTCCATAGACCACTGCCTCTGACAGCAAAGTCATACAGAAACCATCTTCCTGGACCCATGGGAGAAGCCAGCATGGAACCATCAACCATTGCAAACATCTATGAAGTGACCACAGAAGATTACGATTATGACTCAACCCCATGCCATAAAGGAGATGTCAGGGCTTTCGGGTCTCAACTGCTGCCCCCCTTGTACTCCCTGGTATTTGTCATTGGCCTGGTTGGCAACATCCTGGTGGTCCTTGTCCTTCTGCAATATAAGAGGCTCAAGAGCATGACCAGCATCTACCTCCTCAACCTGGCCGTGTCTGACCTGCTCTTCCTCTTCACGCTGCCCTTCTGGGTTGACTACGATCTGAAGGATAACTGGAGGTTCGGCAAAGGCATGTGTAAGTTTCTGTCGGGGCTTTACTTCATAGGCCTGTACAGTGAGATCTTTTTCATGATCCTGCTGACCATCGACAGGTACCTGGCCATTGTCCATGCAGTGTTCGCTCTGCGGGCCAGGACTGTCATCTTTGGTATCATCTCCAGCCTCGTCGCCTGGGTTCTGGCCATCCTGGCTGCCATTCCGGGCTTTTACTTTTCTAATATCCAATGGGAGTCCAGTCATTTCACCTGCAGCCTTCATTTCCCTCACCAACACCTAAAACAATGGCAACAGTTCCAGGCTCTGAAAATGAACATCTTGGGGCTGGTTCTGCCCCTGGTGATCATGATCATCTGCTACACGGGAATTATAGAGATTCTGCTCAGACGCCCCAATGAGAAGAAGGCCAGAGCCGTCCGCCTGATTTTTGTCATCATGATCCTCTTCTTTCTCTTTTGGACCCCCTACAACCTGACTTTGTTTATTTCTGCTTTTCAAAATGAAATCTTGGCGAATGAGTGTGAGCAGAGCAAACAGCTGGACCTGGCCATCCAGGTGACGGAGGTGATCGCCTACACGCACTGCTGCATCAACCCCATCGTCTACGTCTTTGTGGGCGAGAGGTTCCGCAAGTACCTGCGCCAGCTGTTCCACAGGCTCCTGGTCGTGCGCCTGGCCAAATGGCTCCCCTTCCTCCGCACCGAGAGGCTGGAGAGGACCAGCTCCACGTCCCCCTCCACCGCTGAGCAAGAGCTCTCTAATGGGTTCTGACTAACACCACTGCAAGAGTGGCCTGGCAGGCCCGCTAGCCGAGAGGAGGCAGCGGGGCTGTCCCTGGCAGACCCGGACCATAGACACAGCGTGGAAAGACGGACACCCCCTAGGGCTGAGGTGGTCTTAGACTAAATCACCTTTGGGGCTTGAGTCTTCTCCATGAACTTCTCCCTGGAAATGAATGGGTGAACTGGAGAAGATTCCAGAAGACCAGACAAAGGGTGCCAGTGAAGGGCTTGGCCCCAAAAAGGGTTTCCAGTTTGTGAACATTCACATTTGTAAACAAAGCCACTGAGCATCCCCTCTTCTCTATCCCCACCACCAATGAACTTGCAAAGAGTGATTTCCCACCCGTGACTTAGCTCAGAGCCTAGAGCCAATAAGGAGCCAGCAGCTGCCTCCCCTGCAACCCCCGCCCCACTGCAGGGTTTGGGCTCCTGGAAACCCTGAGAAACACAGAACTCGTGATGGAAGAACTTGAGTCCTAACGGGAAATAGGATCGGGAAGCTGCTTTTGGCAGCGGAACTTCCCTTCAGGAGGATTTTTGTGTCCACAAATAACAAGCAGTTGAGGCAGTGGTCTCCACACAGACCACGTGGGTCATGTGTGTCCTTGTGGAAACAGCCATAGAAGGGAGGGGAGTCATTATTCCCATGACCATTCCTTTCTTCCTGAATATTTCTGGAATCTCCCTTCCCTGTGAGTCAGGTGCTGGGGCAGGAGATTCTGATGGCTTTATGGCAGAAATTACTAACAGGCTAAAAGAGTCTGGCTTGCTTTTCTTCCTCTGGATCTCTGGCACCCACCTTGCACCCATCACTAGAAAACGACCAGTGATGGTGTTGAGGCTGGAAGACAGGAGACTGTCTACAGGCAGCATGGGGTGGGGACTCTGTCTTGATGTAGGGGGTTGAGAGGGAGCTTAACTCAAACTTATTTACTCTAAATGTCTCTAACACTTCACCACTCACCAGGCACCTCCCATTTATCATGCTCTGTTCCCTTGTCCCTGAGATTTGTAATTCCTTAAAAACCACTTTCCAGCAACAGAAATTGTTTCTTAAAAATGCTTTAAAACACAATGGGGAAAAAACTCGGACATCGAAATCACCCACAAATCCCACTGCCTACAGGCAACCGCTGTACATTTTTTTGTATACTTTCTTTTCGTTTGTTTTTTCTCTGGTGCGTGTTTATGATTATAACCAAGATGGACTTTGATACTCACCCTTCTGCTCTTGTTGTTCTTAAGTAGTCGTATGTTCGATTGCTCTTCCAGATCAATAAATTATTTCAAAGCTTCGTTTTGGTGCCTGCACTGAATTCTATGGAACAGATACACTTGAACTTGCCTGTTTTCCTTTCTTTTTGCTTACACAAATCAATTCAATCCCACACGGCAACTGAGGACCTGCTCCAGTCAGAGCAAACCTTGGGAAGCACAGGTACAGGATGGAGGTCTCCTGTCGAAGAGCCCTCTGCTCAGTGAGGTGGACAGACACAGGGACACCAACAGAGCCCACGTGGGATGGGTGGGGCAGCCATGGATCCCATAGTGCTAGGACAGGCAAGGGAAGGAAGGAATGCACCCTAAGGGCCTGGGCACCCCACCTATAGCACAGTGACACCACTGGGCTGGCCTCTCTCTTTTTTAGACATGCTCTTACCAAGCCTCCCTCCCATTCAGGTGCGGACCTACTATGTGTTTTCTTAAATGTTTCTATTGATTTCAGAGAGAGGAAGGGAAAGAAAGCGAGGGATAGAAACATCAACAATGAGAGAGAATCATTGATCGGCTGCCTTCTGCATGCCCCACACTGAGAATCAAGCAGCACCCTAAGCACTGATTGGGAATTGAACCGTGACCTTCTGGTTCAAGGGTTGATGCTCAATCGCTGAGCCACACTGGCTGAGCAGGGGACCTGCTATGTTTGAAGGTTATCTTTTTGCAAAGAAACTGGTACCTTGAAGGGTTAGCAAACTTTAGACTGGGGAGAAGGAGGTCACACTGCCCTAGGTTTTCTTGCCCCAGCAATCCCACTTCTGGATATATATCAAACAGAAATCCGTGTACCTTTGTTTATTACCGAATTATCCACAATAGCCAAAGGCTGGAAATAACCTGTTAGCAGATGAGTGGGGGAAATGGAATGACCCAAAGCAAAAGTCCCATTCTGAGGTTTTTAATGTGTGTCATTTTCTTTTATTTTTTCTGTGTTTATTTTTTTGTGGTAAGATACACATAAAATATACCATCTTAACAGCTTTTAAATGCACAGTTAAATGGTAGTAAATACATTTATAATGTGCAACCATCACCACCATCCAACTCCATAATTCTTTTCTTTTTTTAAAATATATTTTATTGATTTTTTTTTTTACAGAGAGGAAGATAGAGGGATAGAAAGTTAGAAACATCTATAAGAGAGAAACATCAATCAGCTGCCTCCTGCACACCTTCTACTGGGGATGTACCCACAACCAAGGTACATGACCTTGACCAGAATCTAACCTGGGACCTTTCAGTCAGCAAGCCAACGCTCTATCCACTGAGCCAAACCAGTTTCGGCTCCAGAATTCTTTTCATCTTGTAAAACTGAGAGTCCATACCATTAAAAAATAACTTACTCACCCCATCCCCAGGCCCTCATAGAATCGTGGGACCACACAGTATTTGTCCTTTTGTGAATGGCTGTTTCATTCAAGGTTCATCCATGTTGTAGTCTACATCAGAATCACCTTCTTTTTTAAAGATGAATAATATTCCATGGTACGTTTATACTACATTTTGCTTATCCATTTATTCATTGATGATTACTTGACTTGCTTTCATATTTTAGCTATTGTGAATAACACTGCTATGAATATGAAGTACAAATAAGTCTTTGAGACCCAGGTCTTAGACATCCCAGGAACTACGAGCTTGAGGCAGCTTACAGTTTCAATATTAGACTGTAGTACATTCCTTTCCAAGTCGCTATATCTTTGCAGAGCAGTTTCTGGTGGTTTGAGAAAAGTCCATGGGGAGCAGGAACTGAGGGTGACAGTATCCAGGGGATTCCAAGATTCAAGAATGGATCTGTGCCCAACAGGTGCACATATCCCACTGACACCGATTATTTAAAAATAAAATATTATGTGTTCTTCCAATTTGTGTGTATTTGCACACAGCTATACACAGAAGTACTTAGGTTGTTTGGATCTAACCACTTACTAAGTGGAGCGGTTTGATGTTTCTTCTGGCCTCAGGGCCCTGAGGAGAAAGGACTGATTTGGGAGGGGTTCTGGGAACTGAGAACGTTGGCGCTCCTCTGGACTAAGGACTTGCTTAGAAGCCGGAGTGTATGTGATTGTGGGAGCTGGCAAGAATCTGTGCAGGCTACTGCCTGGCATCCAAGACTAGGAGGGAATCTCTGTGGGTCAGCCACACAGGCAGTCAGGGAGAAAAGCTAGGTGTGGACCACAGCGAGGACAAAGTGGAACCTGGCAGGACTAACCGCAATGCCCATGGACAATTAGGCCTCATGAGGACAAAGCGTGTGCGTACTGACCTGTTGGGGAAGCTGCCCTTACCCAGGCTGATGCCAGGCACCCAGCCCAGAACTCAGGAGCAGCAGGGAAGCAGTGGGACCTGAGTTGCAAGAGCAGACAGCAGGTGGACTACAGTGGGAGGAAGCCACCATGGGCCTGGCGCCTGCTTGCATCTTCAGAGTATGACATGGCGGCTTCACTCTTACAAATGGCTCGCTAATCACCTCTCCTGGAGGACACTCACATGGACCCTTTTAGGCCAGGGCTTCTGGGAAATGACGGTCCAGCTTAACTAGACTGACCCTGGGCAAAGCCGCCAGAAAGAGTGATGTTCACTTTCCTCTGTGCCCTCTTTCAGTGCTATCTTTTTTTTTTTTTTTTAAGAATTCATGTGTGTTAAAAACACAATGAGGAACAATTGGTGATTTTTATGCAAACACTAAATAATTCTTCTTTTTTAAATATATTTTATTGATATTTTACAGAGAGGAGGAAGGGAGAGAGATAGAGAGCTAGAAACGTCGATGAGAGAGAAACATCGACCAGCTGCCTCTTACACGCCCCCTATTGGGGATATGCCTGCAACCAATGTACATGCCTTTGACTGGAATCGAACTTGGGACCCTTCAGTCCGCAGACCGACGCTCTACCACTGAGCCAAACCGGTTTCAGCTCAGTGCTATCTTTAAAAAAACAAACAAACAAACAAAAAAAACCACATCATAAGAAAATCTATTCTTTGTGAAGAAAAAAAAAGAAGTGACGAAAGAGGGATGAGGGGAGGGAAGAGCAAGGGGAAAGTTGAGGAATGAGAGACAGAGAAAAGAAGATGAGAAGCTGTTTCTGAAAAGAACAAGTTTGGGATGGGCATGTCAGAATGAGGGTGTGGTGTCGGTGGAGACCCTGAAACATGACACCTCTGGGAACCAGAATGTAGGTAGGATTTCCACAGTGTGCATGGGGGCCACCGGGCACCCGGGGTGGGAGGGATGGGCTGGCAGATGGTCAAGAGCGAAAGGCCACCAACAAATATTGAAGTTGAGCCTGGCTGGCATGGCTCAGTGGTTGAGCATTGACCTCATATATGAAGCAGGAGGTTCGATTCCTGGTCGGGGCGCATGCCCGGGTTGGGAGCGCCATCCCTAGTGTGGGGTGTACAAGAGGCAGCTTACCCATGATTCTCTCTCATCATTGATGTTTCTATCTCTCTTCCTTTCTCTGAAATCAATAAAAATGTATATTTTAAAAAATATATTGAGTTTGAGTTTACTATCAGGAGGTGACACACACTTTGACCACAAGCTTTCTAAGATGGTATTTATATGCCAGGAGACCCTGGGTAACGTGCCTCACTCTTCATATTAATAGAAAAGTATAGCTAAAATAGTGGGAGTTGCCGAAACCGGTTTGGCTCAGTGGATAGAGCATCAGCCTGTGGACTGAAAGGTCCCGGGTTCGATTCTGATCAAGGGCATGTACCTTGGTTGCAGGCACATCCGCAATAGGGGGTGTGCAGGAGGCAACTGATTGATGTTTCTCTGTCATCAATGTTTCTAACTCTCTATCCCTCTCCCTCTCTGTAAAAAAATCAATAATATATAATATATATATATAATAGTGGGAGTTATAAAGGCTCCATATAAAGTCTTTGTTCTGTGGTACTAATTGCTCAGAACCCTCCTGTCCCCACAACTCCTATTGCTGAACCTCCTACTGCTCATCCCCACCACCACCACCACCACCCATGGCTATCCCAGGCCTCTTTCCACCTGTTAACAGAGTGGAGCACACTAGGTGGATTGCCACAGAGCTGCAAACGGGGATTTAATAATTGAACTGTCCATGAGGAGCTGCTGCCTCAGAGTGGCCCCCAAATTTTATTTTTACTTCTAACCAAGTTTTCTGAAAAGGAAGTGTGAGTGCCTTTTCTTTGAAACAGTGTCACACTTCAGTGATTTCCTTGTGTTACATTGATGCCCAAGCCACCACCAGGAGGCTGATTGCTGTGGCCATTCACAGCAGACATCACTGGGGTCTCTCAGGATGACTGCTGAGCCCTGCAGGGCTGCTTGATTCTCTACTTGGTTCCCGAGAAGGAGAGAAAAAGGAGAAGTCACCCATGTAACTCCGATTCTGAATACGTGTCTTGGCAAAATTGCAGAAGTTCAAACAGCTTTGTACTTCTGCTTTGTCAAAATTCGGTCTTATTTTCGCCAGGAAGCAAGGCTGGGAGTTGTCCTGAAAGTAAATAGAATAGCGTTACTGTGAGCACACAAAGGCTGCAAGGATGTGGCCACAGCGGAGCCTGTTCTGAGAGAAAATGAGATACTTCCTGGAGGGCCAGCATTCATTTAAAGCGGTGAACAAAATAGACTGCTGCTTC